TTAGACTGCACCCCATAAACACAATCAAGCCTAGAAAAAAAACAGTCAACCACCCCTTTAACAGACATTTCCGTGAACTATAAAACACAATGCAATGCAGTGCAAAATTCACCATACAGGTAAAACATATGAAAAAAAAAATCAATACACAAAATTCCTATTAATACTGTGCCCTATTTTTGCAGATTTTTTTAGTGTATAGAAACTAATGAACTGGAAATATTGCACATTCACAGGAAATGGTTTTCTTCCGTGTTGAAAAATAAGGTGGAATGAACATTACAATGTGAGTAGAGACAAAGACAAAAAGTTGAGGACGCTCTACTGTTTTTTTTAAATGTGATCCAATAACAAGAAACCCCCAGACATCATCTTTATCATTAGAGACTATCATGAACAAAAAACAAATAGTTTTGATAAACTACACTAACAAATATCAACAACTGAGCATTTTAAAACTCCAGAACTAATTATGCAATTTTGAAACTTGTGGACAAATATAAAGACATAATAAAGATAAAATAATTTAGTAATAATAATAATTTAAAATAAAATAAATATTTATCCACTCTTCTTCGAATTTCTGGTTTTCATCATTGTCAAACACACCACTATAACAGCACCATTATTTTCATAAATATTTTTAAGTTAGAGAAGAAGCGATGGAATATATGCAATAATATTTTAATGTGAACTCACCTTTGGAGCTATTTTGATTTACCGTGGTGTTTGAAGCAGAAACCACTTTCCCCACACAAGCTTGGGTTGAGATCCAATAACTATCCAAAATAACTACTTTCCTTAATATTCAAAATAATTTGTGATATCTTTGTTCTTAAAAATGTGCAACACATACATATATCAAAAGATGTGTTTTAGAATTTCATGTCAATTTAAATAAATTTTGAAAAACATATCATTTAAATCTTTTAAAACATTTATTTTAATGTAAGATTGCATCCTTTTTGAACCAAGTAGGTCCATTACCTGGAGAAAGCTCATCTCATCTCAATGTCAGTTGCTCGTCTATTCGCAACCAATCTTGAGCTGTGACATGGAAAATAATCATTGAATGTTTTTGAGAGCCCTTCAAAATGAATTGGGCTCTAGTAAAACATCTAATATAATATAATCAAATATTAATGATTTATATATTGTTTAACAAAATGTATTTTGTCAGAATACATGGCTAATTCTGTATGGCAGCCAGTGGAGAAATATGCCTTTTTGAGTGGAGAAATATGTAGTTACAACATCTACCAGCAGGGGCTAAGCAGCAAAACCTTGACCTCTTCTCATTCCCAACACATACCTGTGTCTCTGTCCACCTACTCTGTCCACACCTCCCTCTCTCTCTCTCTCTCTCTCTTTTTCATTCATAATCCAACTCATATTTATCTGTTTCTCACGTTGTGTTTATCCATGCCCTAATCTCCCCTTTCCACCTGATATTCAGTAAACAGCTCATCAACCAATCAGCTCATACTTACACCATCATTTCAGCCGGTGTGTCTCTCTGCACACAAACCTGGCTGCTTTGGCGTATCTCTCTAACCCACCTCCTCCTATCCCTCTCTGGATTGTGTCTAATGCACAGCCGTTCTCTCACCCACCGGCTCTTAAGAACACACACACACCCTACACATACAGATATATGGGCGTACGGCACACACATCCCACAGACACGGACGCACACACACTCACACATATTGAGTTAGACCTTGAGGCCAGTGTTCTGTAGAGGGGCCTCTCCACTGCGGCCCTGACTTCCTGACTCCCCGCCCCCTCCCAGCACCCCTGTTCCACTGTTGCCGTGGGAGACACTGCTGCAGAGCCCGTTGCCAAGGAGAAGGGCTGCTGGCTGGCTGTTTAAACAACAATGGCCGCCTTGTGCACATTCCAACTCTAGACACTGACAGCATGTTAAGACCTGCTTAAAAAAATACACATATGTGCTCTCTCGTCCTATCTGTCTGCGTCTAGCACACTAGTATGCACATATGCAGATATTCCCTTGACTTTTTCATGTGTTCTCTCACTCTCACTCACAGTCTCTCTCTCTCACAGGGGCTTTATTCAAAAGCATCTGTTTCTTTTTAGCCTGCACAGCTCATTCTCTCGCTCAGTTCGCTATCCCTGTCTCTCATTCCCTGTTTCCATGGTCTAAATCTCTCCTTCTCATTCAGGATGGGAGTGTGTAGTGCACTCATCCATCTTTCTGCTGTACACTCCCTCTATCATCATATCCAGAAAATTCCACTCCCTCCTACTCTCTCTCTCTCTCTTTCTCTCTCTCTCTTCCCTTATCGGCCTTCAGTACCTCTGCTCTTCCCCCACTCTCTCACTTTCTTCTGTTTCTTTATCTCTTTCTCCCTCTCTCTTGCTCGCTCTTTCTCCTTCCTCCCTTATCTCCCCATAGTACCCCTCCTCTTCTCCACCATCTCTCACTTACTGCTATGTCTCTCTCTCGCTCACTCTCTCTGCACTGTGTAATCTCACTCGCTCTCTCCTCTGTCTCTGGCAGAGGAAGTGTGTGTTCCCCAGGGGGAGCTGGGCTCATTAACTTCCAGCAGACAGAGAGAGAGAGAGAGAGAGAGAGAGAGAGTGAGGGGGAGAGAGAGTGCAAGAGAGAGATATAACAGGAAAAGGAGAAACGGGGAGGGTGAGAGAGTCTGCAACAGAGTCTGAAGGTGAGGAAAAGACAGGAGATGGAGAGATAGGAAAAAGAAAGAGAGATTAGACAGAAGGAGACAGGATAGCTAGAGAGATAGACATCTGATCAATCACCCGAGACTGCATTCATATCCTGTTTTAATGATTTTTAAATCACACAGTTTCATACATTGTATTAATATTAATACTTCTTTTGCAAATTCGTTTATTTAGTCTCAGCCATCTATCTATCTATCTATTATTTATTTTCAGTATGCATTCAGTATGAATTCAATTAGGGTCAGCAAATTGAGTCTTCAGCATTACAAGAGTATCCTGGGGGGCAAACAGGTGTTCGAAGCTTACTGCCTGACACAACAACACCCACAGTCGTGTGTGGGAAAGCTGAGGTCACTGATGTAAATGTAGCACTGGGACCAATTTTAATCATGATTTCATTAAAAAAGCACCATGCCTTAAAATCATGAGAAAGATGCAGTGCTGCAAAGTACTGTAAATGGGGAACTGAGTAGACAGAATTGATGATCTGTGGACTCCTGAGCAGGTGGAGGACAGTTTTCTGCATGATATTGAAGCCTGAACAGATTAATTTGATTCTCAAGAATGTTCTGTCCTCCTCAAAATTTAGCCTACTGCACATTTATAACTTTGCGGCTGTTTTTTCTTTGTACCATTGAGGTGAATTCATTATATTTATAATAATAGAATCTATCATAATTTATAATGCATTAATGGTAAAAATGTGACACCTGCAATGTGTTATAACTATAAAACATTGATGATTTGGAATTTGTCATGAATGACTTGCATGAATGACTTGCATCTTAACAAGCAAGTTTACAACCAACTTGTTGATATTATGAAATATTTATTACATTTGAAAAAAAAAAATCAAAGTGGAATTAAAAGCACAGCTACCAAAAATGATCGAACTCACAAAAAATGTATCCTAACTACACTGATATTCACAACCTGCAAATAGCAGCCTATAAATTTGCAGGACTATATTGCAGACACATTACAACACAGATCCTGTTCACTCATGCTCATGTAGAAGTGGGTACTATTTATGAATAATAATTTTAAATTTTATTATTATACTTTTTTACAAAAAATACAATTTCACTAAAATGTAGCTGAATAGATTTGAAATTCAATGTCTATGCCTATGTCTTAAAGGGGTGTTTTTTTAACGTTAGTCAGTGTGTAATGTTGCTGTTGAGCATAAACAATATCTGAAAAGTTACGAAGCTGAAAGTTCAATGCAAACAGAGATATCGTCTTTTAAAATTCTGGCAGTTTAATGCCTACAAAAACGGCTGGTAGGGACTACAACGAGTTACTTCCCGGCTTCGTGACGTCACAAACCCAGATAAACCCCGCCCTCGGGAAAAGGCAGCAAAAGGGGGCGAGGCCATGCTGCACTGCTTTAGAGAAGAGGAAGAGAAAACTAGAGGTGCATGTAAAAATCTATTCATATATGAATCTCGATTCTGTCTTCTAACCATTCTAATGGATTCACAAGTTTCAAAATCAATGTTCTAAAGCAGCGGCTCTTAATACTGTTCCTCGTGTCGCCTGCTCAGCATCTCTCTCTCTCTCTCTCTCATTCAGATAATCAGCTCAGCTCTGTTCCATTTATACACTTATTTTCACATAGCTATGAGAAGCGTTAAACATGCAGTTGCCGTACTGTATTAAAGCTTTAATCAGGATAAAACCGTATATTAAAAGCTAACATAAGCAGTAGCATTTACAAATAACAGCGTATCTAAAAGTATGAGACAACAACAAACAAAAAACATAGGCCTACCATTAAAAGCCATGCTTGCACAGGGCAGAGCCCATCGCCTATTTCTGAGGGCGGGGCTTCATAAAAACAGGAAGAGATCAGCCCGTTTCTCAGAGAAGGGACAGAGAGGTGTGGAATAAAGGTAAATTATGTGAAAAATAATGCGTTTTTTTTTTAAACGAAGCATTAACACATGTTAGACTGCACCCCATAAACACAATCAAGCCTAGAAAAAAAACAGTGAACCACCCCTTTAAAATCATGCCAAAAGGGACACGACCGTAAAGAAAAACTTGATTGGCTCAGGTCTCGAACATGCCTTATTCACTTTTCTTAATGAAAGCACATGAACATGTACAAAAAGCCGTGTTAAATCAGTAACCACACTTACCTAGACATTGATTCTCTCAATCATTTCTTATCTCACTCTCAAACTGCATGTTTCCATGGCAATCTTTAGCCTGGCAGTTTGTTACCTGAAAGAGAGAAAGGAAGAGCGAGAGAGAGTGGGGGAGAATAGAGAAAATGAGAGAGAACAGCATATGTCAGTAAAGAATGCATTCATATGCATATCCTCAGTATGCAACATACTTTATCAGCTGATCTGTACAAATAAAGTCTATGGCAACAATATCATGAATGTAAAACCGCTTGACTTGCTTTTTTTTTCTGTTTTACAAACATCTCAATAACAATCCAATTAGTGATATTATATCATTCATTTAAAACCATAGGTAATAAGCACTTCCATGCAGCATGAAAGCTCTTAATGGATGAGTTTTAACACTGGAAAATGTAAAGATGCACAAGGATCGTTTCCTGTGAATGGTATGAGCTTTAGTCGTGTATGTGATGTGTATCTCACAGCATGCATGAGCTGTTGTTTATGTGATGTATATGTGTTGCTCTGGCTACTGCTGCTGCTCTTCTCTCCCTTGTTTTTTCTCCCCTCCCTTTCTTTCTCACTCTTTAATAATTGAGCTGGTTCTGTCTCTTGTTAGAGTTGGTTCGTTACTGAGAGACACAGAAACCAGCCAGGTATACAGAACCCCTAGATACTCGCTCTCACCTTCTCTCGCACTAACTCCATCATCATCCTTGCTCACAAGTTCTCCGTGTCTTGTGTCTTTCTCTCACACACACACACACACACAAACTGATGCGGATAAACTTAGCAGCCTGCAACCGAATGCCTCCCCCTTCCTCCCTAGACTGCGGAACTGAGGTCAGAGGTGAAAATCACTCCACAAAAAACAGCTCCAGCCAGCCAGCAGGGAATGAAAAAGTAGATGGAAGACAGCGAAGCTGCTTCCGTGCTAAGTATGTGCAGTGTGCGATATACTAGCTGTGGCCAAGGTCAGCTTGAGCCAATGCTATGTCTCTCAGCTCTGCCAATCAGAGGTTTCCAGCTGTTGTGGGAAACCAAGCTTCCTTTACAGAATAAAGGTTGCCATGGAGACCAGAGCTATAAGACTAGCCAACACTCTGACAGGTGGACAAAGTAGGCTAACACATGCACAGACAGTCCCCCCACTCCCTATTCAACCTAGTGTTTCACTTTAGACACAATACTCACTAAAACCTATGTGACCTATAGAAATATACACTTTACATATCATTTCAATGTGCATTTAGCATCATCACGCGTGAGTTTACCTCGTTATCTGTCAGTCTCCATGACAACACACCATATAGCTACAGAAACTAGTAATACATTTCCTCGTCTTTAGAAATATCCGCGTTTCCGTGTTTGGGAAGCAACATGCGTGTTTTGTTACGTTCCAAGCGTGTGGCGTGAATAATCGCGCCTGTCACAACATAAACATCTTCGCGTCACCGTCGCGCGCACAGCTAGAACCAAAAGACTTGCGCCAACGCGCCACTGCATTGCTAATCATTGCCCACTGTCAAACAGAAGAAAACGGAATTAAAAAAAAAAATGTCATGACAATGCTGCATATAAGAGATTATTTTATTTTAGTTTATATTATATATTAAAATCACGACTTTATTAACATGACTAGATTTTTTTTCTATTTCATTACGACAATTAAAAATATATATATTTTTTTTTGTTAGTTTTTCTTTCTTTTTTGTATCGATGCTTTGGCATTGTGAGTAAAACAATCATGCCAATAAAGTACTTTGAAATTAAAATTTTGACAGACAGAGGCTGAATAATTAGCCAGACTAATCAAAAGTGCAGTCACTTGCGAGCTCCAGGCAGGCGCGTGAGGCTGTTTGTCGTCTCCCCATAATAATAATCACCCAACGCTTCAGACGTTCATACATGCCGTCAGTCAACAGCCACTTATGACCACTCATCAGTATTCCATAGTCAATGGGCACTACATTTATGTTTGCCCTGTGTTACAGCGACACATTCACGTCTTAAAATATGTGCATGTCAAACGGTCAATTTTCTTTCACATAGGCTATACGAACGAACATTCTTGTGTAGCTTATTTATAAATTCTTACATTAAAACGTCTATCGCACACACGTTTTTATTCAACAAAATAATGTGTGTCTGTGATATTTAATAATGGCAATCTACAGCTAGTAATATGTCTGATGTAGCGCGGAATGTAGGTGAGCGTAATCTATGTACCTATGGAGTGTGTGTGTGTGTGTGTGTGTGTGAATGCGAGTGAAAAACACAGCCCAATTCTCAGCTGTTAATCCTGGCAACTCAGTCCACACATTCCCACTATACACTTTGATCTGTAGAGCACATCCGGACAGACGTGCTTTAATGCACAACACACACACTTTCTATTTCTCTGACGCACCTAGCCAGGCGCCATCCTTGCCCTTAGCACACCCCCATGCCACACATAGAAAACACAAACCCTCGTGAAATGCGGCGCGGCGCAGGGGAAGACTATGCAAATTGTGGCTGTGAAGCCAAACGCGCGCACTCACCGGGAGGCGCCGAGCTCCGCTGCTGCAGCTGTGATGCTGCGCTCCTCGCGCGCTCATCGGGCTTCTCGCTACTGGATCACAGAGCGCTCGGTGACATGCAACATCCTAAAAGCAGAGGTGTCTGTGTGAAAAAAAACAACAACTATGTATGAATGTCGGAGGTTTTGGTCATCTCGATCCTCTTCTGTCTTGCGACGCCAAACAGTCTGTTCAGCATCTGTTTGTTTGTTTTTTTATAAAATAATAAAAAAAAAAAAAACAGAAAAAAACCCTGCTGCTGAAAGGAATGTTAATTTTAAATAATAGTCTATGTGCCCCTACTTTTGTTAACACAATCAGATAATTATGAAAACTTAAAAAAGTTAGGCTTCACCTGCTATCAGTTTAACAACATCTATTAATAATTTTACTATAAAATAAACAATGTGGCGTGAATGAGCTGTCAATATATAAAATCCCACAAAAAATATTTGCAGGGAGAACAAGGGAAAACTCGCGTATTGTTGTCACCACGTCGGATATTTTTTTTTTTTAAATTGTAGTAACAGAGTACCGCAGTTTGTCACAGGAGCGCCCCGGGAGTGCAGCGAGAGCGAGAAATTGGAATGAGCGCCGTTCTGCGCCGTTTCTCGCCCTCTGCAAACCAACTCGGAGGAATCTAGTCAGAGAGGGCTGTAGACGTGCCTTGTCGACGGGGGCATCCGGGCCTCCGTAGATTCTTGTCTAGATTTTTTTCCTCCTCTGGTGGACTCTGGGTACTGAAGTTCTGCTCATCGTGACTTCATTCATTCTGTCTTCTCCCTCTCTCTCTCTCAGTGTGCGTATGGGTTGCATCAAATATATAACCAGACAGTGCGACGGGGCTCTGAAGAAATGCCATTAGATCTGCATACGTGACACAAATGATTTTCTGATTTTCATATTGCACATTAGGCTACATTAAGGATCCGCAAGTGATCTAGTTCAGATCAGAGAGGAAGTTTCCTCAAAATGAGAGATGTCACTAGACTAGCACCCATCCGCTTCGAATGCTTCATTCACTCAAAAAATGTAAATTCTGTCAGGATTTACTCCCCCTCATGTCGAACCAAACCTGCATGACTATGAACACGAAATTGATATTTTGAAGAATGTTGGTAATCCGTTTTGGGCTTACATTGTATGACCAAAAATAAATTTCTGGATGGTCAAATTGAGAAAAAGAGGGTGAGCAAATGATGACAGAATTTGCATGCTTAGATGAACTATCCCTTTAAGAAAGTACATATGAACTCATTAATTCACTCAGAAAGCCCATGATGGCAAGTATATATGGATGGAGATACTCTTCCATGATTGTGAACATGTAGTCATAGAGCCTTAAAAACAGTGGTGTAGTCGGGGCCATACGCAAGTATACGCCGTATGCTTACTTTTTTCCCCGGGATGTTTGCGTATTACGACTTCTAAGGATCAATATTCGCGTATACCCTCGGTATACCCACTTGTTTTGTTGCTTCGCAAGTCCGTAATCTACTGTCATGTAGCTTCCCCTTTAATGGTGTCCCATACTGCTGTGTGAAATTCGTGATTCTTTGTAATTGGTGCAATATCACTTCTGTCATTCAACGCCGCTCATTGTCGCTCGCGCTTAGTGTTTTGAGCCGCACTGAGCACAGTTCTCGTGCTGCAACAGTGGATACACGCCGTAAGGAAATATGGTAGTGAGTGCACGGATTTGAGTGGACATTCTCTCGTTAGTAGCCTATCGAAAAAAGAAGCCCAATATGATAGTGCGGCCACGACGTGAAACAATTACTTTCGAGTATTTTTACTAACACCAAGACCAGAGCCTCCGTTACATAAAATATAGATCTAACAGAGGAATGAGCCGTATGCAGTTACTGAAGAGAGAGTATAATCCCTTAGTCACTATAGTTTTGTCTGTTAATTTAGCTGAGTATTAAACTGCTAGCAATTGTTAGGCTATCAGGAGCACCCCATTATTATCATGTCAGAATACTGTATGCTGAAGGACATCATACTGTAAAGTTACATTAATACATTTAGCAGACAGATATTCGCATGGATTTATAGTTTAGGTAAGGAGGGAGAGCAGACAGCAAAACAAAAATATGAGTCAATTCAATAGTGTGTTCAGTAGGCTATTAGGATTTTTCAATTAAGGTATTGCACTAATTTTTATAAATAGGCACTTAAACACAATTTTTTTATATATATATTTGTATGAAAAATAGGTTTGTTACATCTTGGGTATTTAAGTCATTTTAAGATAAATAACATTCTGTGCAAACAAATTAAAATGAGGTGGTTGTTTTGCAACTAGATGGACACAGTTCTGTTCATAACGGTAGACCTGCTGGTGAAGAAGTGACAGGTACAAGAAAAACACACACATATACACAAGGGATGGACAGAGATATTGGGGGAAATGAAGAAACGGAAAATGGAAGTGAAGGTGCAGTTCAAGAATGGGGTAATATTGCTGGGTAATAGTAAACCACTTTTTTCTTTAGGACTACACCACTGCTTAAAACCCTTTTAAAGGAATAGCACATCCAAAAATGAATCACATCAGCCTCATGTTGTTTCAAACCTGTATGACTTTCTTTCTTTCATGGAACACAAAAGAAGGCAAAATGACAGACTCAGTCATTCATTCACGTTCATTGTAAAGGTACAATAATTTTATTTGATTGCATTGATGTATTCAGTTGGGCTGTTCCTACAGCACCCGGTGGGCCCACAGAGAACTCTTTTGTTTTGATTATAGCATTATATAGGCTCATACACAATGATAGTAGTATACAGGTTAGGGAAAATGAGCTTCATATGTTGAAAAAAAAAAAATTACATTTGGTACCTCACTATAAAACGGGGGTAGATGTTTAAAAGTGTCTGTGTGCAAAGAAAATTTCATACAAAAAAAAAAAAAAGATAATTAAATCACTTTGGGAAGAAGTGTTTACTTAATAGATGTGTATTCTAAATAAAGAATAAACATCCAGAAATCTAAAAACGCAGACTGCAAGAACATATTCAGCTCAAAACAAAGTCATCCTACATTAATCTGCATATCTGAAGCTACACAGCTAAGTTCCTGCTCCACCACCTATATTCCTTTTTTTGTAACATCTGATTGTTATAAACAGACGAATGCTGAAATGTGCTAGAAATTAATCATCAACACACATCCCCAGGGCTTCAGAGGAACACGCTACCCTGCTGCAGCAAAATGTAGATGCAACAAGCGGTTTAATTTATAAACGTAAAACTCAAATCTGCAGCAAGAACAAAGTGCCAGCTCAGTGCAGGTATGAATGTACCATCATGACTACAAACCCCAGCAGGATAATTAATAAACCAGTACAGCATACTAAAAACCCTGCACATCTCCCAGTCTCCACATTACAGTTCTTCTGCCATCTTGTGGACAGCAAACTGGAGATCATATGAATGCAGCCATGAGCAATTGAGCGTTTGTCTCTGTCTTTGAAGCACACTTGTGTTTATTTGAGATTCTTCACAGCAGAATTTGGATTTGCCTGTTGCATCATTGATTCTGTTTATTACTGAAGCTGCTTTAAAACCATCTATATTTTATAAAGACTGCATAAAGCACTATACAAGTAAAGGTGAGAGCATTCTGCAAGAGTGTATGATGTGCATGCAGAGTAAAAGAAACTTATTAGACACATGGGTTCAGTTCAGTAAGCTCAGTATAATAAAATGGCACAAACAATTACATAACTGTAATACACATTCTTCAGTTCAGGGTTACAGTCTATCCCTGTAGAATATCACTGGCCCTGAATAAAGGCACAGGTTTGATATCCACTTAAAGTATAATCCAAATCATTGAGATATGATGTAAAATGTAAAATACAGTGTAAAATGCAGGAAACAAAATAATAATTAAAAGAAAACAGTTTTTCTTCTCATTTTAAAAGACAGCTCTGAATGATTTTTTTTCTGAATGTCAATACTGTGTCTTTAAAGCCACAATAAAGCCCACTATTATACAACAGAATTGATCTCTAATATGATAATACAAGATTGTTAGCTTCAAAGTTAAACTTAAAAGTGAAACAAAAAGGATTATTATAAAGCAATAACTACGACTAGCTAAGAGAACACGGCCTAGAGAAACCAATGCAACCTGCATCCTGTTCAGCTGTGCATTGAGACGCATACACTATTTCAAGATTTCATTTTTGGCTTCAGAATATCAAGACCATTGCATTCAATTTACTTTTGCCAGACAAAAAAGAAAGACTGAATTGTTACATTCAAAAATGCACATTTGGAAGCTGACTCGCATGTAAAAAAAAAAAAAAAAAGGTTTGTGTAGCCTTGCTCTTGAGCTGGAAGAGCTTTCTCTGTGATTGGAGTTTAGACCTGTATATCACATTAATCACAAAACATACCACCAATTAGATAGGTCTGTAAAAAATCTCAGTTATCCAGGTCACTGTTGAATGTCTAGTAGAGATTTTCTGTTCCACCTGTATATCAGAGCAAAATGTTCTGTTGGCTAGAATAACTTCACTTAGGCACCCATTCGAAATGACTTGAATAGTCTACAAGTGACAGAACATACAAATACAGTGGTGGATATACTAATATGATTGAATAGGTAACTAATTGCTATTGCTTAACGGAGAGATGAAGTATCAATATGCTGTATAATATGTGCTGTTGTATTTTAAGGTAAAGAACCAATATTAACATTGACCACTGTATTAGTTCAGACTTAAGTGACCCAGTCTTGCTGTTTGAGAGCAGGAACGTTTTTTTTTTAGTTTAAAGCTCTCAAGTTAAAGCACGGAATGAGAAACTGGACTAAAGCATGCTCATTTGGAGCTTGTGATTGCAGGGCCATGGATCAAAATCAGTTTATGGAGGTATTGTGATAGAAAGTAAAGGCAATTGCATCTTTCCTGAAGGATATATTGAGCTAATGCACTTAGGTGTATATGCGTCTATCACAGGTTTTCTCCAGGCTGGTACTGGGGTTCAGTAGCAGTAAAGTAGTCCTCCAGGAAGCTCTGCAGGTACTCAAAGGTGTGCCTCTCATCAGGATCCTTCCGCCAGCACTGCAGCATCAACTCATGCAGAGATGATGGGCAGCCCTGCGGACACGGCATTCGATATCCACGCTCCACCTGCTCCAAAACCTCTCTGTTGTTCATCCCTATGCAAATTCACACACAGAGAAATAAAAATAAACATATTTGTACTGCAACAGGTGATCCACATGACTCTTTCCATTAACATGATAAAAAAAAAATCATAAAATAAACTTTTTATTATTAATATTTTTTTATGATTCAACAAATGAAAGTGCTTTCAAAGAAATGATGTGCTTAACATACATAAAATGTTGACTGTCAATCACTAAAGGTCGAACTAAGTATTAATATTACATTTTTTATAAATTTTATATGGTTTTTAAATTTTATCTTGTCAAACAGTGTGAAATTAGTTTAAATTATTATTAAAAACATTTAAAAATGAAATAAGATTCCAGTTTTACGTAAAATATTTTAATACAATTATGTAAAGTGAAATAGTCAAAATATTTAAAAAGGCTTTAATTACTATTAATACATTCTTTCTCACAATTCTAAGTTTATATCTGTGTACAAGAGAAAGAAGCATACAGACAGTGTGAATAAAAGTGTAGTCATAGTGGTTCAACGAGGACACACCTGGGTAAGGCACTCTGCCCTTGGTGATGAGCTCAGTCAACAGAATACCAAAAGACCACACATCTGATTTGATGGTAAATTTACCATAAAGAGCAGCCTCTGGGGCAGTCCACTTTATCGGAAACTTTGCTCCTATAATACGATAATCAAGACAATTAGTTCAGCACATTTAACAATGATTTATAAAAATGACAGATCAAATAGAAAGTGCTGAACCGAAGTACTGAGATATAGCAGCCCAAAATAGAGTAATGAAAGATAAAAACTGTAGTGCTGTAAAATGAAAATTAAAACAAAATGAGCTGGAATGAAACTGAGTAGAGGCCAAGGAAGAGATAAATAACATTTGATAGTATCAAATAAAGGAGGTAGTAGATTAAGATCAAGTTTGGATCTTAGATTGTGAATGACCTTGTCTAGCTGTGTACTCATTGTCCTCGATGAGTCTAGCCAGCCCAAAGTCTGCAATCTTACAGACCAGACCTTCTCCAACCAGGATATTGGCAGCTCGCAGGTCTCTGTGGATGTAGTTCATCCGTTCAATATAGGCCATGCCTGCAGCAATCTAGAAGAAATGAAAGCACTTTCATCACAATACTAAGAAGGGAGATTGCTATTAGTTTTAATAAAGACATGCTCTCAAGATGTTTCTTAGAGCTTATCTGAAGGATTGGCACATTTGTTTAAGTGTCTTATTCCTTCTATGGTTCAAAGGTTTAAGGGTGATTGACCCTGTGCAGAACGGCTGTGTAATGTAGTTCTCTTATAACCAGTTGTGTACATTTTATGCTTATATAATTCCTGCAGGTTGAATCTTTAACCAATCCAGGATCTGAAGATCTACTGTGGCCTTGATCCTGATATATTACCATTTATAGAGATGGGAATGATTCTGCTTACGCTGAATATTTTTGATTCACTAAAAACAACTGACTGAAGAGTCATTCATTCAAGAATCGCACTACACAGGTCGAGCTGTTTGTTTTTGAGTTTCCTTTATGACTCAGGAAAATGTTCAGGAATTCAGCTTACTGGTCCCATTGTATTTTATTTTATTTTTTTGATTCACTAGACAGAACACCAGCTCATAAGATTAATTTGTTCAGGAATTGTTCTAAATAAGAAATGGTCCTTGGCTCCAACCTTAACCATTTAACGTTTCTGGAGGATTGTCCCAGTAATGTATAATAAAAGTTTGCTAGACATTTGTTGACTAAGAAGCTTTACCTGGGCTGCCATATCCACAAGTTGAGGCAATTTTAGATTTCTGCCATCTCCATCTTTCAAGAAGTCCAACAAGCTTCCTAAATCACAGAACAATCAAGGCAAAAATTTATATGTACCTTTATATAAATTAAATTATTTAAATTATTTTTGTAATATTTATATAAATAGAAACACAATTATTCAATAATTAGTTTTTTTTTTTAATAAATTAAAACTTTTATTTAGCAAGGATGCATTAAATTGATCATAAGTGACAGTAAAGACATTTATAATTCTATTTCAAATAAATGCTGTTTTTTTAATCTTTCTATCAATCAAAGAACCCTGAAAAAATGTATCACGGTTTCCACAAAATTAAGCATCTAAAACGGTTTTCAACATTGATAAGAAGAAATATTTCTTGAACACCAAATCAGAATATTAGCATTATTTCTGAAGGATCACGTGGCACTGAAGACTGGAGTAATGGCTGCTGAAAATTCAGCTTTGCCATCTCAGGCATAAATTACATTTTTAAATATATTCAAATAGACAATAATATTTCACAAAATTAATTACTGTTTTTGCTGTATTTTTGATTAAAGTAAATGCAGCCTTGGTAAGCATAAGAATAATTCTATTTCAAATAAATGCTGTTTTTTTAATCTTTCTATCAATCAAAGAACCCTGAAAAAATGTATCACGGTTTCCACAAAATTAAGCATCTAAAACGGTTTTCAACATTGATAAGAAGAAATATTTCTTGAACACCAAATCAGAATATTAGCATTATTTCTGAAGGATCACGTGGCACTGAAGACTGGAGTAATGGCTGCTGAAAATTCAGCTTTGCCATCTCAGGCATAAATTACATTTTTAAATATATTCAAATAGACAATAATATTTCACAAAATTAATTACTGTTTTTGCTGTATTTTTGATTAAAGTAAATGCAGCCTTGGTAAGCATAAGAGACTTTTACCACAGAAGTAGAATTTTTTACCACAAACAACAGACGACATTCTCATTATTGTCCATACCTTGACTCATGAACTCAGTGATGATGTAGATGGGCTCCTCAGACACCACAGCATACAGCTGTACCAGTTTATCATGACGGAGCCTCTTCATGATCTGGGCCTCATCCAGGAAGGCCTCTGGAGACATGGTGCCTGGCTTCAGGGTCTTCACTGCAACTTTAGTTGTGCCATTCCACATGCCTATACATAGAAATGGTGTCAGACACAGTTGGAAGAGCCATTTGAACATGGCAAAGCTTAAGGGATGAAAGGAGGAGATAAAGAGAAACAGATGGAATATGGCCACACACCAAAGCAACAGGAAGCTGGGATTGTTGCAGACAACACAATACTCAGCTCCTGGGAAAGAGCTGAACTTTGATTTTTTTTTATTTTTTTATTTTTTAATTATGCGACTGTGCTGTTGCATTTTTAATGTCACAATGACCATCGACACAGTGCTAAAATGCTATTGAGGTTTAGCTGACGTAGTGCTATATTGGGGATTAGCTGATCCATAGTCTGATGCTTGGCAAAGCAGGGTCAATCTCAGCATTTGTGCTTTAAGCATTTGGGATGTTCAGCCCACAAAAGAACACCTTTTCATATTCTCTTGTCATTATGACTGCACTGACCAAATTATAGAAAACAAACGGATTAAAACAGACATAGGAAAACATGCTAAAGTGGCGAAGAAGGCTGGTGCGTCCTTTGGAAACACTGGCTGTAGCATTAGCAAATGCTGACATGAACATCCACACTGGGTATCATCGTATCCCTCTCACCCATCCAGACGTCGCCAAAACACCCCTGACCCAACTTCCTGTTGAGCTGCAACGTTTCCCGGGCGATCTCCCAGGCATCCCGTCCTAAACCCATCGTTTGGGGCGTGGCATTTGGACAGGCTTTAGTCAAGTAGCAACATAAACCATCATTACTACCTGTTGAGGGTGTTGAAAGAGAGAAAGAGTGGGGAGGGAACAGGGTGGCATGCAATGTTAGAAGGACCAGAGGGAGAGAACAAAAACAGCACAGCTTTACGTTATTTCCCTGACCTCCATTCTTTCATCTTCAGCGCCTTGCAAAATAGTTTGGACCTCTTTTCACAATTTACAACAATGGAAGTCTTCCAAAACATTTTAATTGTAAAATTATTAGAATGTTTCTCTTTTTTTACAGAAATACACAGACAATTGCCTTATAATTTTTTTTACCCTCTTGTGACTTTCTTTCTTCTGTGGAACATAAAAGAAAACATTTTAATTTTTTTTCATACCAATCCATACAATATAAGTCAATGGTAACCAAAACCTTTGTGTTTCACAGGAGAAATAAAGTCAACATGAGGGCAAGTAAACGATGACAGCATTTTATTTTTTGGATGAACTATCTCTTTAAGACATTTAATATAATTGCAAGGCTTTGTACCACAGGCAGGGTGGGCAAGGTGTGCAAGGTTTGTTCCCTCCTTCCTGCAACATGTTCCCATGCTTTTTGTGGTTCCTACCCATCCACACTTCACCAAACTGGCCATTGCCCAGTTTCTTAATGAGCTGAAGTGACTCCCTGGGAATCTCCCAAACATCCTTTGTCTTCACTGACAGGTCAGCCAGCTTAGGCATGCCCCGCCTACAGCTGCCAATCAAACGGCAGCACAGCCCTGCTGCACGCTCTAAAGAACAGAGTAAGGAAAAAGAAAGACACGGATAGAAACGAGAGGAAACAGAGATGCAAAGAAGACACAAACTGCAGGCTATATAAAACAAACATTTACACAAACACAAAATGCTGCCCAAATCAGATTAAAGAAGCACTCTCAAGCAAACATATGCATAAAAAACTGGAATGATACATGTTCATTCAGCAGAGGGCGACAGAGATCTCTGACAGTCAACAGCTGTAGCATGTCAGATATCACCACTGTTGCATGGTGTTGAGTCATGCTAAAGGATGTTAAATGTTAAGTATTATTTTATAGTAAGAATTAAAATTCTATGAAATATAATAATAATATTAATTACTATTATAGTATAAAGACCCAATGGATTAATCAACTCATATCAACCCTGATTGTGTTATCATCAATTTGTGATGGTGTTTTTACTGTCTCACACTACACTACTGTTCGAAAGTGTGGTTCAGTAAGATTTTTTTATGTCTTTAAAAGAAGTCTCACCAAGGCTGCATTTATTTGATCACAAATACAGTGAAACAGTAATATTGTAAAATATTATTATAGTGAAGTAAATAATATACTGATTTGGTGCTCAAGAAACCGTGATAAATTTTTCAGAATTATTTGATGAACAGAAAGTTCAAAAGAACAGCATTTATTTGAAACATCAATATTTTGAAAGATCATAAATGTCTTTACTGTCACTTTTGTTCAATCCAGTGTGTCTTACTGACCACAAACTTACGAACGGTAGTGTACATCAGTGTATGCTAGTGTTCAGTCTAACTTATTAGCTAGCAATCAGCACTACTCCAGTTCATTTCAAATAAAGCATCAGTCTGGTAAAATTTAGATTTGTAAATATGGGGAATTACATATTTACATTAGTACAAACTAAGGAAAAAATATTTAGCACTTAAAACTGAAAGTAACTGTTCTGCGGTAATGGTTTGCCCCGTATTTGGGGTGGTAGGTGGCCCAATTTTAGTTTTACTGATGAAGTGGTCTCTCTGAGAAGAACCTCTCTATATTCATGAGAGTATATGTGCATGTGGGGGTGTGTGACTGACTAGATTCAACAATAACAGTGAAACAGGAAGGCTGATAGCACCAGACTGACAGTTTGAGTAGGAGGATCACTAACAGAACTAATACAAATTATGCACTCGGCCGAAGCAGAGAAGTCATTTGGGCGACAAAAGAGGAAATGAAGACGGACAAAGATAAACTGACCTGCTGATAACTTTATTCGCAGTAAATATCAATACGCCACATAAAGAGCCAATAAACAATGCTTCGTTCTGAAGAAATTCTTTAATATAGTAATAAAATATATATAATTTTATATATAAAATAAAAACCTTTAAAATGTCATGCATTTTTAAATCACAGTATGTTAAGGGTTAGGTTTACATGTATTGCACCGACCTGTATAATGCTCCACCAGCTCCTGGACGGTATCAAACTGTGTCCTTGTTGTGATGTAATAACCACCATTGTCCAGCTTCCTAATTTTATAATGCTTGACATGATCGCCCTTTGCATCATCCCAGTCTCTGATAGACAAAGAGTATGCTCCTAAAGAGGGGCGAAAAGACGCTCTCAAATGTTTGAATTTGTTGGTGAGAAATTCAATGGATTAACAAATTAACGAAAATATCAGAAACAATTAATAAATCTCTTTTCAGTCAGCACCAAACAACTGCATTGGCATTTAGTTATTGTTGTGTCATCTTGTCTCAACTTCTGGTTCAGGGCTTCTATTGAACGTGCAGAACCTCCATTATTCTACAGTAATGAGCACCATTATTATACTGGATCTCAACAAATTTTTTCCAGCTTTCCTTGCATGTTCCCTATTGTTGTACGGAATGGCACTGTAAGAGAAATTATGCATACTAGACGTTTTTCTACACACTAATTGTAGGCTATCAATGTTAGTTCATGGGATTAATTAAACATATTCAACAGTTCATTTTAAAACACTGTTGACACTTTCATTTACTGTTCAAAAGTTGGGGTTGGCAAGTTCTTTTTAAAGATTGCTTTTGAAAGAATTCTCTTATTTGATCAAAAATACAGTAAAAACAGCAACATTGTGAAATATTATTACAATTTAATATAGCTGTTTTCTATTTAAATATATTTTTAAATGATTAATTATATTAAATATATTAAATTATTCTCTTTTGAATATAAAGTTCAAAAGAACAGCATTTATTTGAAACAGAAATCTTTTGTAACAATGTAAAAAGTCTGTACTGTTACTTTTGATCAATTTAATATATCCTTGCTGATTAACAGCAATAGCTACAAAAAATGAGATTAGTCACAATACTAAATAATATTACACATATGATTTGATTTTAGAGTCTCTACAGAGCACAAAATGTAAATACACACTACCAGTCAAAAGTTTTTGAACAGAAAGATTTTTAAGATTAAGATGTTTTTAAAGAACTCTCTTCTGCTCACCAAGCCTGCATTTATTTGATCCAAAATACAACTAATTTATTCCTGTAATTTCAAAGCAGATATTTCAGCAGCCATTACTCCAGTCTTAAGTGTCACATGATCCTTCAGAAATCATTCGAATATTCTGATTTGCAGCTCAAAAAAAACATTTTTCATATCATTATTATCATCATCATATTATTATTATGTTGAAAACAGTAGAATTTTTTCAGGTTTCTTTGATGAATATAAGAACAGCATTTATCTGAAATAGACATCTTTTTGTAACATTATAAATGTCTTTATCATCATTATGATCTTTGGATCTTTGTATTCATCAAAGAATCCTGAAAAAAAATTTACTCAACTGTTTTAAATATTAATAATAACAACAATAATAATAATAAATGTTTTCGGAGCAGCAAGTAAGAATATTAGAATGATTTCTGAAGGACCGTGTGACACTGAAGACATGAGTAATGATGCTAAAAAATCAGCTTTGAAATCACAGGAATAAATAACATTTTAAAATATATTCAAATAGAAAGCAGTTATTTTAAATAGTACAAATATTTCACAATATTACTGCTTTTGCTGTATTTTGGATCATAAATACAGGCATGATGAGCAGAAGAGAATTAAAAAAAAAAAACATAAAAAAATCTTACTGTTCAAAAACTTTTGACTGAAAGTGTATATACTGATAAATTAACTTTAAAATCGTTTACCTTTTGTTGTCTCGCTCTCTCGTATTAAGAATGTCCCTCTAGGATTGTTCTGCGCTAACAACTGTCGTTCTGCATCCTTCCGGCCCATCTTCCCAAAATACCACCTGCATGGACAAACACCAATAATGTACTTTAAAACTTGCATATAATGTCATTGCAAATTGCTGAAATGGCATGTTCACATGTAACTCACTCCTCAGCTTGTATGGAGTCCACAGGGGCCACATAGTTACTAGGAATGTACCCAGACTTCCCTGTGTCCAGAGAACGAGCCTCCCACCAGTCACCCTCGCTGTGGAGGGACAGGGGACAGAGAAAGACATATCAAAAAGTGGTATAAACAGATGAGGAGAAAGGAAATGAAAAAGAAAGAGGGACAAGGGGAACAACAGAGAGAAAAGTAAGACAAAAAAGGAAGATATGCCTGGTATTTGTGGTTTTAAAAGACTGTAAATCTTATTTTAACTGTCCTGCTTTGAACTCACGTATTGTTGATAATATGGAACTTTTCTCCTTTCTGGAAACTCAGGTCATCCTCTGTACGGGCATCATAGTCATAAAGGGCTATAAAGAGCGTTACACCACCTCCTGAACAAACACGCAAAAAAATCTGGTTTCAGTAAGGGAAGTAAACAACACTGAAAATCACATCTCAACACACACTTTTACACACCTGTGATGGGGGCTGGGCGGGACGGGTTGAGAGTGGATGAGGGAGCAGAGTTTGGAAAATCATTAAAGTTTGGGATCATCCCAGAGTTAAAAGTGGGATCGATGATGTAACGGGAGGGTTCTGATGCCTGGGTCCCATTGCCTGTGTCACACGAGTTGGGATTCGACACAGCTTTACTGGCCTTCCTCTGCTTACAGCAAGCACAGCCCATAATATTCAATATTTTTAAAGCACACAGCTCATCACCCTGGAAACAGAGCTTCTTCCCACAGAAACAAGATAAAGAGGAAATAATTAGATACAGTAGTATTGAGTAAGTTACTAGATATTTAATGCAATGACATTGGTTTTAAGGTATGGCTTAAGTTAGGATTGCACAATTTGGAGAAAAAAATCTAATTGTGATTTTTCTGATAATAAATTTGATTGCGATTAAAAATGTGATATAAAAAAGCTCCAAGTTTGCTGTGCTTGTTTGTAGGGCTGCATAATTTGACCCAAAAAGCTGTGATTACATATAAATAATAATAATAATAATTATTATTAAAAATTTAGTATTTTATAATAATAATAATAATTTCAATAATAACTGTAAAATTTAAATACTTATATTTATGGCTGTCTTAATTTCTTTGCTTTCAAACGTACTTTCAAACCATCAAGCTTTTATTTTCGTGGAAAACCACAGGGAGACCTTAAAGCTTCTCTTTTGTTGACAATAGCCGGTTTATAAGCACTTCTCACAACAAGTTTAGGAAGGTGGTTGGTGCACACATGCAGAGAAGTTTGTGTGGATCAACATTTACTCCAAACCAAACCTCTGAGACACCAAAGAAACACTGGATCATGAGCTGCTTGCATGTAAAACAACACTCGAAAACACAAAGCACATGTATTTATTTAATTTGCGATTTGATAACCATACTAAGTCATAGCATGATTTTAGTTTTTTTTTTTCTTCGATTAATCGTGAAGCCCTAGCCTGAGTGTTCAAATTGATTTGGGGGTCTCTGTATGATAATGATGTTGTTTATGGTATGTCATGACATGAGTTTGTCAATGTTGAGAAGGTTTTCTACTAAGTTTCTCTCAGCTGTCGGTGTGTAAATGTAATGAATGAACTGTGGTAGTGTACGTCAATGTAATCAGATTCGGCTCTCACCAGATCCTCACATCAGCTTTCCATACACACCATCTTCCTGGGGAGAAAGAGAAAGAAGGAGAGAGCAAGAAAAAGAAACACACAATGCATTTATATAAGTAACAGATTGTAAGAAAGTTAAATGACTTTATATTTTGTAACTTAACACTTTTTAGCGTTACTTCCTCTTACTTTCCTGTCTAGAGAAAGTGAAGTTCTCTGTTAAAATTCCCCTTGAAAATGTACATGTGTGCAACGTCCACTCTTTCACTGTATAAAGCCGTTTCTATCTGACTGACCATCAGTGGATCAACAGGATGCCAGTTTTGCGAGCATTTCCTGTCCGGCCCACTAAATCCTCCCCCCTCATTTCCTGCTGAGAGGGGAGAGGGTCCAGCTGCAAAGGGGCAACACGTTAACAACACATAACGCTCCACCCCTCATACAATCTGCCCAATCTATGCTTTTCTCTCTACCTCATGAAAATATTCCAAACTTACTCTAAGATACACATAAACATCTCATCAGAAGATATTACAGTGCAGACACACACACTTGCAAATGTGACAGACATCATGCTCAACAAATCAACAATCACAAGCTTTTCTTTTCAATAGGTGTGTATCATTTTTGCTGGAGAAAACAATACAGAACTGTTCACCACCCATGCTTATTGTTTCCATTTTTATCATGTCTCTTCAAGAATTTCCCATGATTGCACAAGCCTGTTGTCCCATTCATATCTTCAGCCTATCTATTTGCAGAATTACAATGAATAAATTATAAATAATGATAAAGAACACATCAAATAAAAACAACGGCTTGTGTTCATATCTTATTTTCTGTTCAGATAATCATGTGTAATTCGATCTGCACTGATGCAATAGTCTAGAAATAGAAAAAGTGAGTACTGAAAAAGTTGATTTTTAAATTCAATGCTTGTTGGAAAGGACTGAACAAATAATGGTCTCATTAAACAGCTGACCACAAAAGAGAACAGCTGTTGACACAAGCGAATAAAAGCAAATCAGTATATGTGTAAGTAATGAAAAGCAGCTCCTGTTTATAGAGTTTTCTTTAGGTTTTGAGAACTGGAAATACAGGGAGAGCAGGCTGGGGGAGCGAAACGAGGAAACTTTCTGAGACTGCATCAAGTGCAGAAAAAAAATCATAATATGCTAAGTGTGTCAATTTTGCCATCAAGCTAAGCTTAAAAGAACTTTTTGATTGGTTTCTACATCTATAAGCCAAATAAACTATAGAGATGCACTTTATGGTGAACACTTTCATCTTTTGCTTTTTTTGATTGGTCTACTCAGAGTTCAGGAGACTTAATGAAGTTCTAATTTGTCTTTTATTTAAGTGTCAACATGGTCTCTGCTAAAATTCACAAATAACAACACACAAGTCATTGTACTTAAGTAAAAGTATAGAGCGATGAAATACATGTCAGTTTTTTAACTGAATTATGGTATGTTTGCACCATCAACCTGACTACACTCTCAGAAAGATTGTGCAAAAAACCAGCTTGTCACCAAGGCAGTACTCTTCAAAGGACATCTTTGTACCTTATGTACCCCTAAAAGGTTCAAATAAATACTTAAGGGTGTATTACTACTCTAACCCTCTGATGCATCGTGGTCACTACAGTGGACAGCTATTTGGAAGCCATTTTGAACCATTTAAGATGTAGCATCATGTCCCAACCACCAACTGGCGAACCCCCAAAGTGTTGTCTACGATTCCATTTAATTGTTGTTTTTTTATCAATTTTTTTGTTTTGAGATATTGCATAATATATTCAAAATGGCAGCAGGAAAAGGGGCTGCACCATGTACCTCGGCAATAAGTGTTAAATAATTTTATTCTCAGAAAACCAGACAGGTACAAAAAATATTTTTCAGTTAAATAGGATGTCAGAAATAGTTTCATCCAGATTTTAACAATATTTTTCTTGTACATTTTTTGCTGTGACAGAAAATATACCTGTCCACTACAGCAGACGTCATGCACCAAAGGGTATAATTCTGCCCATGGGCCTAGATATAGGTTGTGCCTTATTTTGTATGTTTTATTAAAATTATGATATAATTTACACTTGAATGGTTTTATTGAACAGAAATATTAAATAGTCTTCAGATTTGATCATTTATTTCAATGCTTACAGTCTATATTTATTTATTAGGTCATATAAAACTGTAGGCATGCATACATGTATACTGTATGAGTGCAGACATATGTGTGCATGATTGCGTTCGAGTGTGTGGTGGGAGGGTGTGTGTGTTTGCATTTGTGCTCACATGTGTATGAATAGCCCACCAACCCACACTTCCCCACACAGCCCCACACACCCCTGGCCCATAGACACACACCCTTACGTTTTGTTTGTTACACTTCACATTTCTGTGCCGTCATGACATAGCTTGACGTTATTGAATGTTCTTATGTGTATTCATACCATTTTCACGTAGTAAATATTTTAAAGACGTGTTTTTTAAGACCACCCATTAAGTTCTATTGATTTACTTTTTATACGTTTGATTCATGGTGTCCACTACAGTGGACAGATATGTAACTCCCTCAAAATATAATATATTGACAAAAAATTTTTTTTTCACTTGTTTAAAAGTAAAAACAACCATGTAAAAAAAATATTACTTTGTGATTTAATCATTCATTCATCAGAGGGCTAAGGTACTAATATACCCATTTTAGGGGTAGATAAAGTATACAGTAGTTGTTCCTTTAAAGCTACTACCCCAGTGTCAAGCTGTTTCAGCAAATTTTTTTCTGACAGCATACCACTGTGAGTACTAGCGGTAGCTGTTTGCCACAGTAGCTAGGTAAAGGTTTAAGAGAACCCATTGCCTTATTTAAGCATTTCTCTCTTCACCACCATATCTCAAACAGAATGGTACTTGCGCTTATCTGTCACAGATGCATAAGAACAGATATGTAACTCCCTCAAAATATAATATATTGACAAAAATTTTTTTTTTCACTTGTTTAAAAGTAAAAACAACCATGTAAAAAAAATATTATTTTGTGATTTAATCATTCATTCATCAGAGGGCTAAGGTACTAATATACCCATTTTAGGGGTAGATAAAGTATACAGTAGTTGTTCCTTTAAAGCTACTACCCCAGTGTCAAGCTGTTTCAGCAAATTTTTTTCTGACAGCATACCACTGTGAGTACTAGCGGTAGCTGTTTGCCACAGTAGCTAGGTAAAGGTTTAAGAGAACCCATTGCCTTATTTAAGCATTTCTCTCTTCACCACCATATCTCAAACAGAATGGTACTTGCGCTTATCTGTCACAGATGCATAATAACAGATGAGAAGAATGCAATATGCTCTCCAAAAGCCGAGACAAGCAGCTACATAATGCACAATAATGAGTGCAAGATGGAGCATGAAAAGATGCAAATTATGTGTCATCAATAGGTTAGTGAGTTTGGTTTCATTCCGATTGGAAACTGCACTAAAGGTCACATGAACCATACCTAGATTTTATAATCATCACTTTTTTAACAAACTGAACTGAAGTAAAATGGACATGGGTCCGCACCAAAAGCTCTAGTGTGAAGCTGGCCTTCATTGCAAACTTTTGTATGTTCTGAGCCCAGATGTTGTTAAGATCTCTTCTAAATACACATTAGATTACTGGGGTCTTTTTCTCAGGAAAATTTTTGAGAAGCAGGAGACTTTAGCCAAAGTCTCAACTTACACTCTGTTTGATCTCTGTGCTGTTTAGGAGAAACAATCAAGATAAAAAAAAGAGGAAGCCAAATGACACATCTCTTCTCTTGTTGAACGATTCACTCTTTTCAATGGAAGCCTTTTTAACAGAGGAGATGAGATGAGTCTACTTTCAGTGTTTAAATATATTCTGGACCAGAGAACACAGAAACCACACTTTTTTCTAAAAGAGGTTTGACATGTACACATGCATTAGCATCACCAGTCACACGCCAACTAAAAAAAAAAAAAGTAATGTGACAGTCTTGTTATCCAACAACAAATAATAGAATGGAAATAGAAAATAAAAAATAGAATTGGAAGGTTATGAAAACTTAATGTAAAAGCACCCCGGGTTGCACACTAGCAAAATCAATGTGTCAAAATGTCAGTCTTCTCACATTCTCACCAACTGTAGCATTTACCGCTGTGTCGATAAGAGGAAGTTGCATTTGAGGGTTTGAGGTCTTACCAACAGCAAATGCAGAAGACCATCTAATTTGTAAGCAAAACACATAATCAGATCACAACTGAAAAACCTCATGAACATGTATTCAGGTCGTGTGATGAGTGTTGCATCACTTTTCTGAATTCTAGATGGAGCGAGATGCTTCACCTACAGGTTAGGGGTGTGCGATTTCACACACATTCTATCAGTTGCAATTCTGGCACCTCTGTCTCAATATACTGTGCAACACGACATACATTCACATCAAATGTTAATGCAGAAGTAGAGTTACACTCAGGGGACACTGTACTTATTCACAATCACAAAAGTACATTATTTGCATGTGCTTTAAAGCCTTGCCGGTCAAACATTTCATTCGCGTGCTGTTCTGACATGTGTTTTTTCTGAGTGTGTACACCTCAAGTGTGTACACACTAAAAAGCCTGTCAAAAAGCACCTGATTACTGGACTAAGTTATCTTTCATGTCTGACTGCGCTAACTCACAAGGTTTACATAAACACAGTTAGTTATGTATACAGGAAAGTAAACATTTGAGAGAAAATTGGACGCATGCAGGTCTTAAAATGACCCCAGACTAATAGCACTAAACATGTTGCCGCATGTCATTAAAGGGATAGTTCACCCAAAAATTTAAATTTTGTCACTATTTACTCACTCTCATGTTGTCTCAAACCTGTATTAATTTCTTGTGCTGAACACAAAAGAAGATATTTTGAAGAATGTGGGTAAAAATAATTTTATTGCTGGTCCACATTGACTTTGATAGTAGGAAAAAAATACTATGGAAGTAACTGGGGACCAGAAACTGTCTGGTTACCCACATTCTTCAAAATAACTTGTGTTCAACAA